TTGAGTAACTTAGTGGATTATAAATCTAGGGAGCTAGGGAGTTCTCTTGTAATCAGGTAATTATCTTTAATCACCTAGTTACTTAGTACCTATATAGTTCAAAAAGCTGCTCAATGTTTTTCAAAATCCTATCATCATCATCATCACCATCACCATCATCCTATTGTCTATTTTTCTATCTGTACATCTATCTAGGTAGTTATCATCCAAGTAGGGGTGATTCAGTTGAAATGGGGGTGGAAAGTTCAGAATGTGTCTTTCACCTCCTTATCAGCTCCCACCTCCTCACAACTGCTGCTGTTTCTTGTTTTTTTTTTTTCCACTGCCACTATTGTGGAAAGTGAAATGTAATGTACAGTAAGTCTCATTATAACAAAACTGGGATTTATATTGGGACCACCTGCTCTTTGAAACTTCACTTTCTTCATTTATAAAGCTGGTATAATAGTACAAGTTTGCTCATAGGGATAATTTATGAAAAGTAATGGCATATACTAGGGCTGATCTCACTAGGCCTTTTTTTTGCTGGGTCATAATCAAAACAAAAGGGGTGAAAATGGTATAAATTAATTTAAAAAGCTTTGTAAACTTCAAAATTTCACTCTGATCATTCCCCTCGACATGGTGATGTGTCTGTTTTTCCTCCTTAGTAAATCCTACATCAGCTTGGTGAAAGAGTGCTAAGGAGATATAGACTTATATATATATTTAAATTGTAAGAAATAATTTCTGTAAAATGTTTCTTTTGTCTTTTGTACCCCAAATTTTTTGGACTAAAGGTCTAATAATATATAAATTATATAATATAAATATAGTTATATTATATGTTACATATGTGTGTGTGTGTGTGTGTGTGTGTGTATTTATAGTACTGAAATGGGGCTTAAAGATTTTGAACAATTTAGGGAAAGCAAAATCCAGATCACCTGGGAAGGCAACACATTAGACTCCTGGGCAGTGGATGCAGTCAGTGCACTTAATGATATTTGTCTTTCTGAAATGGCTCCTGAAGTCCTCTTCTTGGAAGGAACCCACCTATACAACTCTCTTAAGTTACTACATGGGGCTACTTTTACAGGGGGCTTTGAAGGCTGCTGTAAGCACTGGAGTTCAAGCAAAGCATCCCTCCCCTAAAGGCTTGAACAGTGAGAGCAGGGGATGGCACCAGCTGCTGCTCTTTTCCAGAAGGTCATTTCCACTCCCCATTTCCACCTCTTAGGGCTGGTGAATTGGCATCAGCAAGCAGGACTACTTAAATCTGAGTGCCTGCAGGCTTTGACAGTAAAGACTGAAATTAACTTGAACTTTTGGAAATACACTGGAAGGCCCAGTGGGAAGCTACATGGGAGGGTTGTTTGCAATTCTTGCTTCCAGTCTAACATATTTCTCATGTGGGCGTTCCCAATAAAACTCTTTTCCAAACTTTTCATGGGTGTCCTCTGGGATTATGCTTCTTTTTTTGCATGTGTATTGTCTGTCTCCTGAAAAATCCCTTGATTTACACCTTGGAGTTGTGAAAAACATCCCAGTACTAACATATTATTCCCTTTGAAAAGCTATTTGGAATTCATTATTGACTTTTGTTAAATAAATAGTGATCCATCCCAACCTGAAAGGCATGCAGGTTACCTCCAGCTTATAGATCAGAAAAATATGGATGATGTTCTATGGATGATGCAATTTTCCATAGATGTTTTTGCTTAGAAGTCATAGTAAATAAAGTTCATGTGAGTTGTTAATATATTCTGCTGTATCTGGATATATGCTTTGGGTAAGTGGACAATAAACTGAAAGAAGAAGCTAAAATCAGTAGCTTAAGCTAAGAATGTTTTTAATACTGTTTTACTGTGACCAAAAGACCTTACGAGACCAACATAAAGGAAAAAAAAGTTTATTTGAGGGTTCATATTTTCAGAGGTCTCAGTCCTTAGATAGCCGACCCCATTCCTTGGGGCTCTAGGTGAGGTAGAACATCATGGTGGAAGGATGCGGTGAGGAAAGTAGCTTAAGACATCAGACTAGGAAGCAGAGAGAGAGACTCCACTCATGACACACAAAATATATACCCCAAAGACATGCCTCCTACAACTCATCTCCTCCAGCCACCCAATTAATTCCTATCAGGGGATTTATTTGCTACTTGTGTTGAGGCTCTCATAACTCAATCATTAATGTCTAAACTTTTTTACATTGTTTCTCACATGAGCTTTTGGGGATACCTTATATTGAAACCCTTTGAATTATCAAACTAAAAACAGCTAACAAAGCAAAAGTATACGGGTGGGAAATCATAAGTTAGCCTTTATCCTGTGTCTATTGCTATTTGTGTCTGGGTGAATGTAGGTAAATAATTGAGTATTTCTGATATTTAACTTCCTTATCTGTTAAGTAAGAACACTGAATTAAAATAATTAAATCTTATTCTTTTGTTCTAACTTTCTATTGGTGTAACAAGTACCAGAGATAAATCAAATTAAAAAGAAGAAAGGTTTGTTTTGACTTACAGGTGTGGAGGTTTGGGTCCACTGTCAGTTAGCTCCAATGCTGTGGGCCTGTGGCTGGGAGCAGGTGGCAGAGCAGAACCCAACTCATGGCAGCTGGGAAGCAAGAAAAGAGAAAGAGGGGTCAGGGTCCTAATATCCCCAGGTCATGCCCCCAATTACCTAACTTTCTTATATTACACTTCTTTCCTAAAGGTTTCACCAATTCCCACTAGCACCACAGGTTGTTAATCAAGCCATTAGCCTATGGGACTTTGGGAGGACACTTCTCCATGCCACTGAACCTCAAGAAAAAATACTTTGTAAAATTTAGATTCTAATATAGCCAGGGACACAGTGCAATATTATTGGTGAAATTATCACTCTACGGTTTGCAGGAGGAGCAGGTATTTTAGAGAAAGATGAATTGCTTATCTTTTCTCTAATTATCCCATGTCAGTATCCTACCTCCCTACCTATCTGTGGAATTTGAGTTGCCTGTCAAAATAAATAAAATATTTCTTAAGAGTGAGGGATAGAGAACATAATGGAATAGAGAATTTGTTCAAGGTTTGAATTCAAGGCCTCTAAAAATGAGATTTTGCTTTTTTTTAAAATTACCTATTTATTTATTTGTTTTTATTCTGAACAACAGAATGAACACAGCAGCAAAGGAGAATGCTATTTCAGGAATATTCTCTGTTTCTCTAAAATCAGTTTAATTTATGTAATAACAAGCATACAGTTAAAGAAGTCTGTACCTCATAACATTTGGTATGAAGTTAAAGGGATTTTAAAAATCCTTAGGATTTATTTAATGGTTAACTATGAAATTATTGTTGTTATTTCTTGGATATTATGATTAAGATGAGAGCTACAAATTTAAATTCTATCCCTTGGATGTTCAACTTTTGCACTTTATCAACTTTCTGTTCATATACAGACGTCAGTATGTATGGTATAGTTGGGAGGAAGTGTCATAAAGGTAGATCCATTGAGTAATAATGAGGTCCATCTGAATCACTGTATATTGTGACCTTAAATTCAAAATGCAAGAAGCAATTTAATCGCTGTTCTTTAAACACTTTTTGTTAAAAAAAAATGCCAATTTTGATTCAGCATAGATTCAGTAAGGTTATTGTGATATTGTTTGTAGTGACATTTAAAAATGAAAAATATGTTCTTAAGGTTGAACTAATGGCTTTAGTTTTGACAGAAAGGCAACAATAGTGCTTGCACTGGGGTTGGCAAAGATTATATTCCTCTGGCAAAGATTATATTCCTCTGGCAAAGACCAGAGAAACCTTTTTAGAAGGCCCAGCTCCTGTAGTTACAGTTCACGGCATTCACTCCAACCATACTTTTGGACTTTTCAGATCAGCAGTTGTAATGAATCCTATGATGTTACTTGTCTCAGGATATTTCACTATTCTTTAATGGGTTCCTATAAATCTTATCACACCTTTATAAATAATTTAATAAAGTCTTCTCGATAATCATTTTGTTCAGGCCTTCTATTTTCCTTCATGACTCTGATCAATTGTATAAATGGTGCTTTCCTTTATTATTGTCTTGTTTTTCCTGATTGAATAGAATTAAAGGAATAAATCAACTTGCTAAAGAATATATGTAACTTTGAACATTGAGGCGACATAAATAAAACTTGGAGTGATGTGCAGTCTGTATTTTTTTGCCAAATCAATAGATTAATGAAATAATAGTAATAGAGCAGTAATATTCCTGATTTCATAAGCACTCAATCTTACTCATGGGAATGTGAGTCTGGTGTGAACTCTGCCCAAGAGTTCTTATGTCTATGGCCTGTAAGAAACCAATATTTTGCATCTCAATGAGCCTCCTATGTAGCATGTAATTATTTCTGCCATTTGTAAAGAGTGTCTAATAAATTTAGACTATGAATTTTATTTATTAAAAATGATGATTAAAATAAAGATAAAAATCTAACACAATATTTTATTTATTTATATATGTATGCTATGTATTTATTTATTTGTGCTAGAGATTGAACCCAGGGGAACTTTACTACTGAGCTATATCCCCAGTCCTTTTTATTTTTTATTTTGAGACAGGGTTTTGCTAAGTGGCCATTGCTGGCCTTGAACATACGATCCTCCTGCTTTAGTCCCCCCAGTCACTTGGATTATAGGTGTGCATCACCATGGCCAATTAACATAATATTTTAAAATTAATAACATTAATACTGCTTCAGGGTTATTTCTAATATTTTCCTAAAACTTCTAAAATTATAACTCACATTTATGTAGTGTAGAAATTCTAGCAGGAATTTGATGACCCTGTTGGAATGTTATGGGTGCTTGTGCTTAACAGGAATTATACAAGTGTTTTTCAATGAAGATTACTTTTTATGCTAAGATGCTGCCACGTCCGGCCAAGGGAGCCGAGTCCGGCGAGGGACGGCGAGGTTAAAAGACACACAGGACACCAAGGTTCTTCATCCAGGAGTCAATAATAATCTTTATTGCTAACACACCTTTTTTTATACCCCAAGCAGCAGAAGTGGAAAACTACCCAAAAGCAGGAGGGAGGGGGGAGAAATTTAGTTTCAACATCTGTTATTGTCAGGTACCGAAACCTCCCTTAACAAGAAATCCATCAGACCAGAAAATGTCAAGGCATTCCCGTGGGACACATATGTCTCAGACGGATAAGCAGGAACAGAAAAACCGCAAGTTCGCCATGGCCTTGTGAGCTGGCCACACTGGCATGCAGAACAAACTAGTGGAGGTTGGGCTCCAGGGCCCAGGGTGGACCTGCTGCCAACAAGTCCCCCTCTTTTGTTTTTTGCATGCCAGTGGGAGTCAAGTAGCCCCGGTCTTAGGTCATTCACAGCCCTTGCGATGCTTACCCGTCTCTGGGAAGGCCCCGATTCCCTGGCTTAGTTTGCACAGCAAGCGTGAAAGTTGCCCGTCACTGGGTACTACAAGATCAGCTCAAGGTGTTATGACCTATCAAGACATTATTGTGGTGAACGCTTAACCGTCTCCACCTACGGGACCCACGACCGTCACCGCCGAATGGCAGATGTGATTGGACCAAGAGATTAGACAGCAAAGATCCTAGTACAGGAAGGCAAGAGGGAGAGGTATGCATAGAGAAAAGATATGGCAGGAGTTCTTCTTTTAAGGAGGACACTCATCTTCGGATAAGTCTGAAGTATATCTCAGAGGGGCGATCATCCATCTTCAAGCGTTGACAGTGAACCTGTATCGGCTTAGAGGCTACGATATTAATTTGATCCTTAATGAATTGTACTATCTTATTTACAATGCAGGGTCCTATTGCCACTACTAGAAGGAGGCCTAACAATGGCCCCAATAAGGGAAGAAGATAAGGCAAAAATCCATTAAGTCCAGTCCAGAGAGGGTTCTCAAATAATTCCCTCCTCCTTTTTTCTAGGTCTTCTTGGAGTTGTTTAATTTTTGTGCAAACTATGCCAGATTTGTTAGCATAAAAACAGCACCTCTCCCCAAGGGCTAAACAAATTCCCCCTTGATTGGCAGTAAGCAAGTCTAAACCCGGCCTGTTCTGAAGAACTACTTCTGCTAGGGAGTCTATCTGGTCTTGTAAGTCTTTAACGGTTCCCGATAGGGTTTGCACATCATCTATAAGCTGTTGAGATAGGCGGCGGTAAGAATGTATAGCCATATCCAATCCCGCCGTGCCTGTACCCACAGCAGCGGTTATTCCAAGGCCAACAAGGAGTGGTAAGGCCTGCACAGCTCTCTTGTGTCTTCTAACTAAGGTGTCTAGGCTAGGAATGGGTAGGGGTTCATCTCCTGAGATAATCGTGGTATCAGGAAGTAGTAATGCCAGAACGCAACCACCAGTCCAATTTGCTGGGAGCCTGGGAAAAGCTAAATTTCCACCACACATAAAAACTGTACCATTAGGGGGACAAATGGGCGGAGTAGGTGAGGAGTAATTCTTTACTAATGAGCAGTTCCCAAAGGAAGAGACTCCAACATCAACATCATAGGTATTATTCTGCATCATGCCCAGAAGGCATGACATAAAACCACCTAAAGGCTGCACCTTAAAGGGTAGCCCAGATTGACATGTGTTGTCATCACCAATGGCATAATTAATTGGGACCGCCAATGGCATGACTGCACCTGCAGTCATGCAGAGCCAGCAATCACCAGCAAGGGTAGGATTGGAACTGTTAAGTAAAGAAAAGGTAGTTTCTAGGATATCTAATGTATTGGCATCTAAATCAGGAAACTGGGATTTGGGCAATATCAAGGGGTGGTATGTAGGCTTAGGGATCTCTGGCTTTAAAAGCTTAATCACCTGAAGGTGTTTGATAGCATCAGTCGGTCCCCCTCCATCAGAGACTCCGATGGGGGCCTGCATGGGCCAGCAGGAAGGTTTACCCATGACGCCCTCACATCCCGCCTCCGTTAACCGAGTCGTGATGCCTTCCCCTTCCCGGTCACCAAGAAAAGGAATAAAATTATAAGTGGTCCCCCCTTCTCCACAGGGGTTAGTTAGGATGGCCTCAAAATACTGTTTTCCTTGATTATTAACACAAATTGAGGCCGATGTATAACAGGAGATGTGCATTGCCAGGGTGTAACGACAAGTGGCAGAACAGCTTCCAAGAGTCTCGGTCGGATTAGGGACAACAAGTCCGGGCTTATTAACACATACCCATTTTGGTTGCTTAAATCCTCCAATGTTTTGATTGAGTTCAGCCGCCATATAGGCTACTTTAGTCCCACAATCAATGCTCTGGATATAACCAGAGGGGGCCGAGTGCCGGGGCCCTCCCTTACACTCACAAGGGGCTCCAAAAAGATATTCATGAATATTCCCAGGTGGGGAGTCAAGCCCTCCTTCAGCAAACCTAACAATTCCTTAGGTAGCTTCTACTACTATCTTTATCTCTCCCTGATAATCAGCATCAATAACCCCCGTAAGAATCTTCAAGCCCCATTGAGTTGCGCTATCTCGTCCCAACACTAGTCCCACCGTCCTCTCTGGCAGGGGTCCAAAAACCCCAGTAGGCAGCGTCTGAGGTCCCATTTGGGGAGTTAATTCCGCTCGGGAGGTGGAACTGAGGTCCAGTCCTGTGTTTCCTGGTGTTCCCCTGGGGAGTTCCCAGATAGAAAGGGGTTGGTCAGTGGGAGGTGGCGGAGACGCCTACTCCCTGGGGCACTGTTTCCTCCTTGCACTGCCCCGTACACTTTGGCTTCCGGGCCCGGGGCGGGCCCCTGTTCCCGTTTCCCGACGGTATTGGGTTACCCTGGATGTCAAATTTTGACCTGCACTCACTACTCCAATGATTTCCTTTATGACATCGAGGACAAATTTCAGGCATCCCTCTGCCAGCACCCTCGCTCCTTTCTGGGCAGTTTCTCCTTATATGTCCCTCTTTTCCACATTTAAAACACCCCTTAGAGTGGGTTCCCCTGTTATCAGCTTTTTGCATTCCAGTCTTAAGGGCAGCAGCCAAAACCTGACCAGTAATATGAGGCCCATCTATATCTTTGCATGCTCGAATCATGTCATCTATACTTTTGGCCCGGGAGGACTTAATAGCATTTTGGCAGTAAGTGTTAGCGTTTTCATATGCCAGTTGTCTAATAAGTGGCATAGCCTGTTCCAGATTAGGGAATATTTTTCCAGCCGCCTGCATTAGGTGGGCTATAAAGTCCAAATAAGGTTCAGAGGGTCCTTGAGAGATCTTGGAAATTTTTGCTTCAGTCTTAGAGACGGGCAGGGCTTTCCAGGCATGAACTGCAGCTGAGGCTATTTGAGCATAAACACCTGGGTCGTAATTAATTTGTTGGCCTATGGTGGCATATTGCCCAGTTCCTGTCAACATTTCAGCATTTCACCGTTGATGGCCCACATTTAGGTTAATCTGAGCCAGCTCGCGGCACCTTTCATGATATTCACTTTTCCACAATAAGAAATCCCCTCCAGATAACACAGCCCTGCAAAGTTGCTGCCAATCATTGGGTATCAGTTGACTGGCTGAGAAGGACTCGAAGAGGGTCAATGTGAAAGGGGCATGAGGTCCATAATTAATGACCGCCTCCTTTAGCTGTTTTATGTCCTTGAAGGCTAGGGGGACATGGGCTCTGGCTGGCTGTCCATCAGCATCGGCGTTTTCAATCATTGGAAAAACTTGAGCCACTCTAGAACCCCAGTGGACTCCCGCCCGTCTAGTAGGGGCGTCCTCATTCCAATCAGGATTATAGGGAGGAGGTGCGGCAATTGAGGGGGCCCTAGGCACCCTCACATTTGCCCTTTTAAGGCAATGTTCTAGTTCCTCTATCTCCCTTTCTAATCCCTCCTCTTCCTCCGAGAGAGAACTGAGGTCCTCAGGATCCTTTTTGGGCTTAGAAATCTGGAGGCGTTTCCTACCCCCCCAGCCTGAGTCCTCAAGAGGACCCTCATCCTTTAAGGATTCTGCCATTTGCTCCTCCTGCACCTGATTAAGGGCCTGTTTACATTCAGCAAGCTGATCCTTGATCTTTACTTTATCTGTTAATAAAGCATCCTTTACCAACCTCCATAAGGAAAAGGTGGCAACTGGGACACTGTCTGAGCCCCGGTCCCTCAATAATTTTTGAAGGTCATGTCTGACCAGGTCCCAGTCACTATTATTAAGAAATCCTCCTGTCAGAAACCAAGGATAAGCCTGGGCAATGATTTCAATGAATTCGGTTGCAGTCTTAGTTTTTATTCCTGTTCCTTGTGTATTTAACAGCTCTTTCAGTTCGTTGGCCAGACGAACCTTCGCTGTTGAGTTACCCATGGTATGTACCCTGTCTCTTTAAAATATCTTTAAACCAATCCTCCCCCTTCTTTCTTAGAAGGTGAGCCCCGTCCGCTTACCCCTGCTTTCCGGATCTCGGTGGAACCTCCAATTGCCACGTCCGGCCAAGGGAGCCGAGTCCGGCGAGGGACGGCGAGGTTAAAAGACACACAGGACACCAAGGTTCTTCATCCAGGAGTCAATAATAATCTTTATTGCTAACACACCTTTTTTTATACCCCAAGCAGCAGAAGTGGAAAACTACCCAAAAGCAGGAGGGAGGGGGGAGAAATTTAGTTTCAACATCTATTATTGTCAGGTACTGAAACCTCCCTTAACAATAAGTCCATCAGACCAGAAAAGGTCAAGGCATTCCCGTGGGATACATATGTCTCAGACGGATAAGCAGGAACAGAAAAACCGCAAGTTCGCCATGGCCTTGTGAGCTGGCCACACTGGCATGCAGAACAAACTAGTGGAGGTAGGGCTCCAGGGGCCAAGGTGGACCTGTTGCCAACAAGATGCTACTTTATTACTGTGTCATCTTCAAAATGTCTTTATTTTGGAGAAAATGTGAAAAGAATTGTTAATCCACTCTGATTGCGATAACTGTATTTTATGACTTCAAAACATGCTGTTTTGTTTAAATATAATTTTTAAATATTCCATGCCAATATTTTTCCTTTGATCAGTGAATGAATAAATTGAGCAAGAGGCAAATTTTTGGCAATATAGCCATGTAGTATCCCAATATTTAAAATGTGTTAGATTTTTTTTCCAAATAGACATTTTAGAGCAATTTTTTAATTGACACCTAAAAATTGTACATATTTATAGTACCATGTGATGTTTTGATATATGAATACATTATGGAAAGTTCAAATGAGGGTAGACACAAGTTTATTCAAATGTTTATCATTTCTTTGTGGTGAAAACATTAATCATTATGCAGTATGATTAATTTAATAATTGACAGCTATTTATTTCTTTATTTTTAAAAAGATGGGTCTCACTGTGTTGCCCAGGCTGATGTTCAACCTCTGGGCTCAAATGATCCTCCTGCCACAGCCTCTCTAGTAGCTGGGGCTACAGGTGTGCACCATTGCACTTGGATATGGTAAAAACCTTCAAAATTTTTTCTTCTATATTTTTAAAACATGTATTGTTATCTGTAGTCATTTCTCTGTACAATAAAATACCAGAAAGGGGCTAGGGATGTGGCTCAAGTGGTAGCACGCTCGCCTAGCATGTGTGGGGCACTGGGTTTGATTCTCAGCACCACATAAAAATAAAATAAAGATAAAAAAGAAAAGAAAAACACCAGAAATTATTACTCCTATCTAACTGTAATTTAGTGCCTGTTGACTAACCTCTCCTTTCCTCCCTTGTCCCTCCCTTCGATCTTCTCCCCAATTTTAGGTAATTACTTTTCTATTCTCAACCTCTTCATGGAGGAGAATCAACTTTTTTCAATTACACAAAAGTGAATTTCACCATATTTGTTTTCTGTGCCTCATTTATTTTTACTCAGTGTGATGTCCTCCACTTTTATCCATGTTGTTGCAAATTACACAATTTTATCCTTTTGATGGTGGAATAATGTTCTATTGTGTATATAAATGATGTTTTCTTTATCCATTCATCAGCTGATGAAAGCTTAGGTTGTTTCCATTTGTTGGCAACTGTAAACAGTGCCACAGTGAACATGGGAATGAAGGTGTGTCTTTAATACACTGATTTCATTTCCCTTGAATATATACCCACTAATAGGATGATGGGATCATAAGAAAGTTCTATTTTTAGTTTTTTGACTTAGTTCCATAACAGCTGTATTAATTGGCTTCTCCAAAACAGTTCAAAGGTCCCCTTTTCTCTAATCCTCTCAGGCCTTTCTTTTCTGTCTTTTTGATCTAGCAATTCTACCTGGAGTGAGGTGATATCTTATTGTGGTTTTGATTGTATTTCCCTAATGACATTGAAAATTTCACATATCTGTTGGCAAGTTGTATGTCTTCTTTTGAAAAAATATCCATTGCTTATTTTAAATGGAATTATTTGTTTTTTTCTTATAAATTGTTTTGAATTTTTTTACATATTCTAGATAGCTTTCTGATTTGTTCATTTTGTTTAAGATTGCTTTGGCTATTCAGGGATTTTGGTGGCTACTCAAAAATTTTAGGATTTTAGTCTGTAAAGAATGTCATTGATGTAGATATCATTGAATCTGTAAACCACTTTGGGTGGTATATACATTTTAACAATATTGACTCATCCAATCCAAGAATTCAGAATGTCTTTTGACTTTTGCTTGTGTTATTTTCAATTTCTTCCACCAATGTTTCATAGTTTTTATTATAGAGATCTTTCTCCTCTTTCGTTAAATTTATTCATTGATATATATATATATATATATATATATATATATATATATATATATATATATATATAGTGAATGGGATTGTTTCTTTGATTTATTTTTCAGATAATTTAATTTTGATATATGGATTGTTGGTTTTTTCATGTTCATTTTGTGTC